TTTTTTGTGTCAAATATTTTTTTTATTACGTTTATTTGCAATATATTACGAAAATTATTCATCGACGATTTAATGATAGTCTATACGAAAAAGAAAAATAATAATTATTCATGAATAAATTAATAATAAATTGTCTGGGGCAAAGTAAAAAAATGAAAAATTTCAAGACAACAAAAATATTATTATTTTTGAATCGAATGGTTGATTCTGTCATTTTCAAGATATTAAGTACTCATCAATATATATGTATGTATAAGGATTGATGAAATAGATAGACGATAATATTTTTGTTCCTAATAAAAATCTGTAATATTTAGTGAGAAAAACGAAGCTAACTTTAGATAATATCTAGACTCATGAGACTAACAAGTGTATATAATTGGAAAAAAATTGTGAATATATTATAATATTCAATAAGTGAACTGATAGTGTCGCTATTTGCATCCGTATATCATTTGTTAATACTCCGATTATTAGCGTCCTCTTTCTCATTGCTCTTTATTAATTGGAAAAAACTACTAGTAATCCATGTAACTTACTGTTGTTTTTCCTTTTGTACTCTCATTCTTTCTTTTTTTTTCCTCTTTCTTATATAAATATTTCTTTGTCAGTCTTTTCTCGTTGACTTTTTTTTCTCAGATCTTCTTTGTTTCATGTTGTTAACTGACTGATAGAAATGTCCAATCTATCGTATTTTCCCTCTCTTCTCGTTTCGTCACTATTTTGATGACTCATTCCCATCGCAATTGACACGTTATGCTACTTCGTATTATTCTTTAAAAAAACTCGATCAACAGTGTATTTCCGGTGTTCATCATGCAAAGTGGCCCGCCTGATAACGCAGTTACGTACAAATTAGTAGTCGTCGGTGAAGGTGGTGTTGGTAAATCTGCGTTAACTATTCAAGTAAATTTAAAGACGAAATAAATTCTTATATAAAATATTAATTTTTAGTTTTTTCAAAAAATGTTTGTCGAAGATTATGATCCAACTATTGAAGATAGTTATATTCAACATGTTGAAGTTGATCGACAAGTCTGTGTACTTGATGTTCTTGATACAGCTGGTCAAGAAGAATTTTCTGCTTTACGTGAACAATATATGCGTAAAGGTGATGGTTTTCTTATTGTTTATTCTGTGATTGATGCTAATTCCTGTAAAAATACTCGACAATTTTATAATCAAATACTTCGTGTTAAAGACAGGTATTTTCTTTTAAAAACAACACAAATCAATTTATATAGAATAAATTTTATATCTATAGAAAATCTTATCCAATGATACTTGTAGCAAATAAAATTGATTTAGTCCATTTAAGAAAAGTATCTGAAGAAGAAGGTCGTGAATTAGCAGCTGAACTACAAATTCCATATATTGAAACGAGTGCAAAAGTTCCACCAGTTAATGTTGATGCTGCATTTCATGAACTTGTTCGTGCAATAAGACAACAAAATCAAATACAATATCCAATAAATAAAAAAAAGCGAAAAAAACGATATTTTCATAATTGTTGTGCTATGTAACAAGAAAAAATGTCTCATTTGCAATCAAAACTAAATTTTTGCTTACAAGCTTTTCTCTCTCTCTCGCTCTCATTTTGTTTGTTGTTTATGTGCCTTTTTCTTTTCTTCTTATGTGTGTATTCATTTCTAGCTCAAAATTCTTGTCAAAAATATGTGCATGTATGAAAACTAATAAAAAATAAAATTTGTGCAACGATTCAAAAATAGAAGATAAAAGAAAATAGATGTTTTCTGTCAGTTATAATTATACTAGGAAAGGTTATTTATAAACATAGAACATTGTTTACTGTTAGCATACAGAATGGATAGATAAATCTTGATACATATTATTTTCTTAGCATACGATTGAAGATAAATTATGCTTATATAACAGATTGATACTAATATCAATATGTTTCAAATGAACCATGATTGATACATAATAATATGTTAGATAGTTTGACATAGAAACTGTTGTTACCCATCATAATTAGTTTATTACGATAAAAAAAAATTCGCGAGTATGTATTCATATCTATACCAGTTAGAATGTCGATAAAATATTTCATTTAAGTGCATATGCATAATGGCACGTACTACATCGTTTTACTTGAGAAAAAAGATTTTACTAAACTGTATTTTTTTTTGATCAGTCGTACTCAATTCTCGCTTGAAACTAAATCAATTATTTTAATCGAGCATTGTCAATTATATTACATTGTATGTTAAAATAATGTGTATATCCGGTTTATTGTTCGATCGAAATTCTGTTATTCTAACATGTTAGAAATCTGAAGAATTGGTTCTATAAATTTCTCAACTATAAAATCAATTTTTTTTGTGCTTCTTTTCATTCTCAATAAATTATGAAAAAAACGTACTACTTGACTAGATCACATTGCTTTAATTAAAAATTTAATACAACAACGTTTGTAGTAATACCACTATCCAACTGTTTGTTATTAATTGAACAGCAAACAACTCAGTAGGTATTCAATTTTTAATAGGAGATTAAATAGTTATTACAATGTCAAAACATTATACTAGTTATGGTAAATCAAATCAATGATTAATAGTAAATAAATACTCATTTGAATTCATTTAGATTCAAATAATATACCACCGATACAATCAACAAATAAGATTAATTTCATAAATTATAATGTATATGATGCAGCGAAGTAAGATAAAACGTTTAATAATAGTGTCAAAGATTGAATGAACTTTTTTATAGAAGAGAAACTATATTGAAAGAACAAGAAGCACATAGAACGTGGACAAAAAAATATGATCCATGGTTTATTAATGAATATCGACAAGTATGATTTCTTTTATATGTCTATGAAAAGATATTTCATGATTAATAATGTATTACAGATGTATGATAATATGGCTGAAGTTCATGGAATTCCTCGTGAGAGTTCTGTTATTTCTTTGAAACGTACTGAATGGCAACAACCAAGTAATATATTTCCTCCACTTAATGAACGTTTGAACGGACAACGTCGTCGACGTATATTGGGAGCATTTCCCGAGACAGAAAATGATGTAAGGATATTTAATTATTTGGTTTGTTTTTCATTTTTATTATTATTAATGAAAATGTATTATCTTTTTTTCTAGAAAATTGGTTGGAGAGTTTTGCCTGAACATACAATTGAATTATATGGACGTTTTAAAACAGCGAATGACATGAATCCATTACCAAAACAATATAGGATTTCTAATTGGCCTATTGAAAGTTTATATTAATTCAAAAAGACAGTTTTTCTTTTGTAATTTATTTACATATTAAAAAAAAAGAAAAGAAATGCAATGGCCAATTTCAATGACTATTGATCGTGTATATTTATATAGGGTCGTATTGTAGACTATTGCTTGTGTAATATTTTATCATTGTTTGAATATAGAGTGAAGAAGAAAAAAAAAAGGAAGAAAGGAAAGAGAATATTTAGATGAAGAAGGGCGTTTGCTTTTCTTTCTTTTACGTTCGTTTGTTCGTCCGATCCGTTTTTCTTCTTTTTTTTTTTTGACAACTACAACCAAGCAATACTGCCGTTACTGTTACAATGATCGTCATCGACCATCTTCGTCGTTATGAGAGAGTGCAAGATGTAGTAAAGAAAAAAAAAGAAGAGAACGCATGTTTTTTTTACAATGCATAGTGTGTATGCACGCATGTGTCTGACCTAACTACTAGCTGTTGCGTTTATACATATATAACTATAAAAATGTGAGTATATGTATGTGCATACAGTTTTATTTACTGAGTATTACCATGATATTTATGGAATAGTTATTCATCATATTGATTATTCATTCCATACATAGTTTGAATTGATTGATAAAGAAAAAACATCAACTTGATTATGTGTTATATGTGTCATATAATCTTTAATCTTTGTTTTTTTTTAATCTCTTAATATAAAATCTCATGTTTTCTTATAGAAATATAATTGAATATTTTTTTTTCGTATAACTAAAAAAAAATAAAATTATGGGACAAAAATCTGGTAAACATAAAAAAGATTTAACTCATTTATCAGATGAAGAAATCGAACGATTAACAAAAAATACAACGTATTCAAGACAACAAATTCAAGATTGGCATCAAGGATTTCTTCGGTATTAAAAACTTAATCTATTAATTAAACAAAAATAATTTTCTTTTTCTATAGTGATTGTCCTAATGGTAAACTTGATAAGAAGAAATTCTTAGAAGTTTATAAGGTATTATAATTATCTATTTAAATCAATCTGCAATTATCGAAATTTTTTTGTTAATATAGAAATTCTATCCTGAAGGCAAAGCCGAAAAATTCTGTGCTCAAGTTTTTAAAACATTTGGTAACTATTCTATTTCGATAAAAAATTTCATATATTACCTATTTTTTTCATAAATATTGTAGATTCAGATGACAATGGTTATATTGATTTTGTCGAATTTCTTATTGCTGTTAATATAACATCGCATGGTTAGTTATTTTAGAATTTATTAATCATGAAATACATGTATATGTACTTTTTTTTTTAGGTGATATTCGAGAAAAACTTCGATTAGCTTTTGATATGTATGATATGAATAAAAATGGAAAGGTAATTCTCATGAGAAATTCCAATGAAAGTTTGCGATTTATTAAATATGACTTACGCTTGTTTTGAATATATATTTAATGTGATTCGATATAGTCAATCTCTCGATCATTTTATTATGAAGCAAAAATAACGCGCAGCTGTCGCAGATATATACTTGTCGTCATCCGCAACATCGAACAATTGAAGAAACAAAAATAAGAATAATTTTTGTTATTTCTTATTCTCTCATATTCTTAGAATCTATTAAAGCAGCACGCCCTATAGCAGTCTCATTTATTGCTTCTGCTGCCAATATATTTTCTTTTCTACATCGTCTATTGCTTATTTGGTGGAAGATTTCGACCTTATAAACAAACGATGAAAAGGACACTCGTTGTATCGCATCATCGCACACTGCTGTTACATTGCATCGTCAATAAGTATATACCATACATATATACATATACCAACCATAAGAGTTAGAAAATTGAATATGAATTAGATGTATACATATGCATAGTGCAGTGCATCTTCGATAACCATTTTTCTTCTTTCCCCCCCTTTCTATATTTTTTTTACAAGCTGATGACTTCTCGACAACATTTGTCGTCGTAGGTTGGAGAAAAAAAAAGAGAAGAATTGTATTAGCAAAGAGACAAAATATAAAAGCGATTTACGTGCTTGTGTTAGCCAACGAACAGCTCATCATCTACTGTTTGTTGTGCTATTGTTTTCTTTGTGTATTGTTTCCTTTCAACACCTTTCTCTTTTCTTTCTCTTCTCTTATTTTTTTTTATTCTATCATCTTCATTTTTAGTTTTACTTTCATCATTTTCTTACGTCTATCATATTATCACACGTTTAAAACATATATTTGTTTTATTCTTCCAAACTACCTATATTCAGATTTCATTTTCTTTGATAATAATAATAATAATTATATAAAATGGGTAATAAAGAAGGTAAAGTCGTTGGTGTTGAATTAAACGATGAAACTATTGATCGTCTAACAAAAAATACAAATTATACACCTGAACAAATACATCAATGGCATGAAGCATTTTTACGTGATTGTCCAAATGGTAAATTGTCACCGCGACAATTTACAGAAGTTTATAAGAAATTTTATCCTGAACATGAAGCTGAAAAATATAGTTCACAAGTATTTCGTACATTTGATATGGATAGTAATGGTTATATTGATTTTGTTGAATTTTTACTTGCTGTTAACGTTAATTCAAATGGTGATGTACGAGATAAACTTGGTCTTGCTTTTGATATTTATGATATAAATTCTAATGGACAAGTAAGAAAGTACAATTCGCATTCTATTTATATTTTTATGTACATATCAGCTTTATACTAAGCACGTGATATGTATTGTTGAATGAGTTATTATTTTGCATAGACGCGCGTGATTAATCCTTTAAGTTCAATAATATGTTATGTTAAATTATTATTGTTCTTTTGTTTTCTATTTAGATCGATAAGAAAGAAATGACCAAAGTAATCACGGCTATTTATGATCTCTTAGGTATGGATTTGATTTAATTGTATATAAACATCAAATTAATTTCTTTGTTTAGGTGAAGAAAATCGTAAAGGAGATAATTCACCGGAAAATCGTGTAAAAAAAATAATGGAAAAATTAGATCTTAATGATGATAAAAATATCTCCCGAGATGAATTCGTTGATGGTTGTCTCAAAGATGATGTACTTCGACAATTATTAGCACCTAATGTTTAAAAAAAAAGAAAATAAACCAATAATTCATTTCTTATATAAGAGCATGTGAAAATAAAAGAAAAAAAAAAAAAGTTCTCTCTATTTTTTGTCTTGACGTCTTTATACTTAATATATATATATGTTCTATTTAGAGTAGTGAATCGTATTCAGTCGTTTTGCATATTTGTATATGTATTCTGCTCTAACGATCGTTTTAGGAAAACATTCTATATATATTGTTGTTTCCTGCGTTTTATGTTTTATCATTGCTTCAATTCTTTTAGTTCTCATTCTTAATTCATACTCTTCTATTTTGTTTGGTTTTTTGTTCTCCTACTACTAATTCTTCTTCTTTGAAAAAAAAAATATTCACGTGCTATATAAAAGCGAATAATAATATTGTTTTGTCTCATCATTCAATTATCTAGACAAGATTTTTTAACCATAATTGATATTATAATGAAAATTTATCAAGTGAAATTAATAGACTGAATTTACATATGTGAATGACTATGAAACTTGTATTTATGATCAGTCTGTATGTTCTAGACAAATAAATGTATTCGTTCGAGTACATAATGTTAAATATCAGTCGAATGTATACTTGTTTTTGTTATTACAGTTATTCATACAAATATATTTCTTGGTTCAATAATCAGATGAATACAACTTTAAGATTTAATCGAGTATTCAAAAGAATCACCTTACAAAGAATTTGTGTACAATGATGAAAGAATTACGATAGTATTAACCCTTTCACGATCAGTGTATTATTCTTAAACTATCTTTTTGACCACGACTAAAAAAAAAAAGTTTTTTTAAAAAAAGCCTGGACCCCCTCCAGGGTAGGGTTAAAATCTATCATACGGATGTGATGACAATTTTCATTAAGTTAAAACTAAACCAAAAAATAATCGCTGTTATTATTGAACTGAGTGACATTATTAGTTCATATTCCTTATGGTATTCGAACGAATATATTAACTTAAGTATGAATGATGATGTTTTGATAACAAGTCTTTAATATTGCAATAAAGAATACAAAAAACAAATCAATACAAAATATGAGATAAATACTAATAGTACACTTCACAGCAAAAGAAAAGTTTGCATAATAAATTAATAAGGCAAAAAATATACAATTGAGAACACAAGAAAAAATGAGAATTTCTTTTTTTTTGATTATTATCATTAAGCTTCAATACGTCTAGGATGTTGTTGTAATCGGTCTTGGGTTATTTCTTTTAATGTTGTTGTTTTTTCATGATCAATATAAACATAAGATTTTGTTTTTGTTATTGATGATTCTGGAAAAAGAGAAGCTGTTGTTATTCCTGTATTATTTTGGCTACCAGAGATATTATTTGTATTTGTTTTATGCTAATTATAATAAAACAGAAGTTAATTTTAAAATGATTATTATGATAGAAAATGATTTTTTTACCATATCAATAGTACTAGCTGTTTCAACAGATGGATCTGATTTAGTAAATTCTGCATAATTAATTTCTTCAACATTTGAATGTTCGTCATTTTCGTTTCGGAAAACAAAGTAATTTTCCGATAAATCAGGTTCTGAATTTCTATAAAATGATGTTGCTGAAGATAATGACATAGCTGATTGTATTCGTCCTAGATTATTTATTGTTGATGAAACATTTGTTAAACTTAATAATGATATATCTTGTTGGGGATGTTGATGTTCCAATAATTGATTAGAAATCATTGTTATACGTTGATCAAGACAATCAACAAGATCTCGAGCTTGTTTACAACGAAATGCATAACGTGCTGGACCAAGTGGTGCACGACGACCACATTCAAGTATAAAAATTGAATCATCTAAACCATAACGTTTTATTGTATCAAGTGGAATAAATAATGATTGTCGATGTTTTTGATGAATACATAAACTATCATCAGATACTTGAATTTTAGCTGATGAATGTTTACAACCATGAGAATTTATATTATCAACTTTAAAAATACTGTCATTATTGATATTAGCAGTATTACTAAGATCAGGTGTGGAATTATAATTTCCCATATCTGAAAAACAAAACATAGAGTTGGTATGTGTTTATTTTATTTAAATTTGTGTTTTTAGTGAAATTCTCGGTACAATATTCATAGACTGTAATTCCTGAAAAAGTAATTTGCAAGCATAGGGAATTTTTATTGTTGCCACATCAGATGATGATTTGCAATATTGACACCTAAATGGAGAAGTTTGTTTTTGAGAAAATTATTTTCTTTAATAAAATGAATTTTTTTACCATCCATTATAACCAAACAAACCACATTGATTACATACATCAACTTGAAATTGATCACTCGAAATCATTAGACGTTCGAGAATAAGCATACTATAAAATATGTAAAACATTAAAAACGAAAAGATATAATTAGATCAGTTTACCTTGCACCATAACCGATAAGACAATCACCTAAAAATAAAGATATCGTCATCGAATGATACTTTTTGAATGAAATAAAAAAAAGATCACTTGGCCTCTTCCTGTTCGATATTTGCTTCTCTTATCTGACTGATACTGATGTTAGTAGAGTTTTTAATATCTTCTACCCCAAACTTACGTTCCATCTCTCCAAGTCGAAGACCACCATCACGTGATCGACCTTCAGTTGGTTGTCGAGTTAAAACTGATCGTGGACCACGTGCTCTTAAATAAATTCGATATAATATAATCTTTAGAAAACGTTTTTTTCTGTACCTTGCATGCATTTTATCTTGAACCATATGTTTAAGTTTCTGATAGAAAATAGGTCCAAAAAAGATATATGATTGTAATGGTTCACCGGTTAAACCTGATGTAAGAATATCTTTTCCCAAATAATTAAAGCCTTTATCAACTAATACTTTTGATAAATCAACAATTTTATCACCACCAAATGCTGTACCATAACTAATAAATATAAATAGGTTTTGATCAAAAATAAATATACAGATGTTTTTCTTCTTACTGAAATTTTCCTTCTAAAACTCCTGCTTTTCCACCTAATAATTCAATTAATTTTCCTATTGTCATACGACTTGGATAACCATGTGGATTCATAATTATATCTGGACACATACCATAATCATTAAATGGCATATCTTCTTGTTGAACAATTAGACCACAAACACCTTTTTGTCCATGACGTGAACTAAATTTATCTCCTATTTCAGGACGACGTGTTTGTCGTGTTAATAATTTAACAATAAACATATCTTCATGATTACTAGTTAACATAACTTTTTCAATACAAGCTGGAACAGGATTACGATAGATTAATGGTGTTTCTTTATCTTCTGGTTGAGCAAAAACATTTGTTGTTGTTGTTGAAGCAGAATTTTGTTGTTCAGCTAATGTCATTGTTGTTGAACTTGGCGTATGTTTATTTACAAGTACTTGTTTATTATCAACAATTTCTCCAACACCAACAATACCATCCATATCGAGTACTTCATGTTCCCATTTAGGTTTTTTTGTATCAATATTAATCAATGGACCTTTAATTTTATCACAGGTTTGATTAGGATAACGTTTCATAGCAACAACTTGTTTCTTATAGACAATACATCGTCCAAAACCTCGATCTAATGAAGATTTATTAAGAATAAGTGCATCTTCAATATCATAACCAGAATAACTCATAACAGCAACAATAGCATTTTGACCAGCTGGAAGTTTTTCAAGATTAATTAATTCAATTGTCTAAAGTACAAAAAAAACTCTTCTTTTTTTTCTCTCTAAAAAATGAATGAATCGTACCCTTGTTTTAACCATAGGACGTTGTGGATAAACAAGTAAATATAATAATGTATCACAACGTTGAGATTGATTATAACCAATAGCACCCCTAATAGATAAAAAAATGAATTATATGAAATCTATTGAACTCTCACGAATTTCTTATTGCTTACATTGCTTGTTTACCCATAGCACATTGATATGTATTACGTGGTGATTGATTATGATGTGGATAAGGAATAAGACCTGCACATGCTCCTAATAATGTAAATGGTTCTATTTCCAAATGTGTTGTTTTTCTAAATTGAAAATAACAAACAAATAAATTTAATTTAGTTTAATTAATTATCTATTTTACCGGTTAATATCTTTTTCGTAAACAGCAATATTTGAATCACCTTCTTCATTAACATCAAGATATTCCACAAGACCTTGTCGAAGAAAATCAGTAAAGGCTCTAAAACAGAAAGTAAAACATTCAAAATTCTGGTTTTCTGGTGATATTATTATGTACCTTTGTCCAAGTGCAAGTTCTTGAATATGTTCATTTGTTACTTTTGGTTGTCCTTGTTCAACAATAATATATGGTCGACATAATCTTCCACTATCTGATGATATATTTATAACTCTTTGTTTATGTAATGTATAAACTGATATAAATTCACTTAAATATCCTTTTCGACGTAAAAATCTAATCGAATAAATTAATTTTTTAGGTTTATTTGTTGCACCAATTATATTTCCATTAAGCATAACAATAAACATATTAGGTGCATAAATTTCTTCTCCATTCATCATTGTTATATCTTCAATACCAAGATTATGTGCTAAACGTATTAATGGTTCTTCTTCAATATCAGTTGTTATATGTGTCATTAAAGCAAGATTTTTAACTAGACCACAACCTTCACCTTCTGGTGTATCTGATGGACATAACATTCCCCATTGTGATGGTTGAAGAGAACGTGGACCAGAGACTTTACGTGTTTTTTCAAATTGACTTGTTATCATTGTCATCATACCAACACCAGCAACATAGGAAAGACGTGAAAGAACATGTGTTACACCATGTCGTTCCATTTTAAAACGTTTTATTGTCCAATTACCAGTTGAAATTGCAATAACAAGACCATTAGTAATTATATCTGGTCGAATATGTTTAGTAACATCAAATTGTTGTGCTCGTTGACGTGGAATTGTTTTATTAGCAATTTTTTGTAACTAAAAAGACAATTTATAATTCATATTACATTATAAATTATTATTTTTTATACCTCTGTATTAAATCTTTTAAAAAGATCTTCAAATAGAAGTGCAATTAATTGTCCAGCTAATTCTAAACGTTTGTTTCCATAATAATCTCGATCATCCATATTAACAAGACCTAGTTGTGCTTGAATAACACGTCGCACCATTGAAGCCGTATAAACAGCTTTTAATTTATAATCATATTCAATAACCTCTGATGAGAATTAGACGAAAAAAACAAATATTCTGTTTCAATATATCATTAACTTACTGGTACATGAGCTAATATAATATGTGCTAATAATTCACGTGCTTCATCAATTCGATTACGACGTATTGATTGACTTGATGCAAATTGTTTCGATGAACTTTTCATTTTTCCAGAAATATATTTCAATGCCTTGCAAAACAAAAAGACATTTTGTAATTTATACGATTTGAATAATTAATAGATGCTTAAGATAACTGAATATGTTGAAGAGTGAATCTCTTAGTTAAAATTGCATAGGAAAATGAATTGATCATCGTTATTTTCGACATTCTACTAGTATGATTTGACCTGATAGGATATTTATTACCAGTTTTTATACTCGATTCTATCGAGGTATTTTATATCTGAATTATTTTTACGCATATTTCTCGGTGCTTTATCAAAGAAAATTATATTTTAACTTATTTCACAGTATTTAGTATTTTTGATTATAAAACACTATCCTGTTTCACTATATTTTGAACACTTTGCTAATAAAATCTTTACCTGCATCTGTGTAAATATTCCTAATCGATGAGATTCTTCAATTGATGCTGAAAAACAATTAAGAATATCATCTTCAAAACCAATTAATTCACAAATTTCTTGATCTGATTGAATGCCATAAGCTTTAAATATAATCACAATTGGAATGTCCTATTTTCAAAACGAATATAAAAAGAAACGAAAGTAAGTTTGTTCTTTCTTACATCTGTAAGACTATTATGTGCCAAAAAATATCGACCTTTACTTTCGTATACACCTGTTTTTGTTTTCGTTTGTTGTGTTGTACTAAATAGAAAATGAATAAAATCATTAATTAAGACTCAAGGCTATATCAATACCTTGTAACAGTACATTGAAAACGATCTTTTGAATCTTTTTCAATAAGCATTCGATTTTTTGATATTTGTTCTTGAATTAAAATAACACGTTCCGTACCTAGATAAATAATTTTAATATAGAAATTTTTTATTAGAGAATATTTTTTACCTCGTGTAATAAAATAACCACCTGGATCAAGTGGACATTCTCTCATTTTAGCCATTTCAGCTTCGTTCTTCTCATAAAGTACACATTTACAACTGCGTAACATAATTGGTAATCTACAAATTTTCCAACAGTTATTTTTTGAAAATTCCGATTAAAAAAAATTTACCTTCCAATAATTAAACCTTTTCGTATGACACGTTCATTACCACGTGTATATTCAATATCAACGGAAATAGGAGCAGAATAGGACATATCACGAAGACGACACTAATAGTAAATAATAATAAAAAAATGAATCATTAAATTTCAATAAATATACTTCATGAGGTGTTATAGGTCGTACAATATTGAAACCTTCTTCAATACATGGTGAAAGAACTTCAATATTTAAATATCTAATAAAAATTGAAATTCAATATGATTTAAATTGATAATAAAATTATTTAACCTCATATAAAATGATGGATCAGATTCAATAAGAATTTCTTGATTTGCTTCCATAATTTTTTTAATCTAAAGAAACATTAAAAGAAAACGAAAATCAAGGTCTTAGTTTTACTTCAGTATTAACGAAATAATCGAATGAATCAAGATGTTGTTTAACAAGTCCTTTTATTTTAAGAAATGCAGGTACAAGTTTCCATTTATCCTAAATATAAGAAGAAAATAAAAACTATTTTATATAAAATACAATAATTTACTTCAATATTTTTAACAGGTGCAGCTAATTGTTGGAGATTATTAGTTTCTTCATCATCAGCACCATATGGATCATGAGTTGTGTTCTTTTGAACACCCATTTTTTGATCAATCTAAAAGGAAAATAATTAAAAAGACAGTTGTATTGCATCAGATCTGATCATCTTTTTCTACTATTGCAGCTGACAGGTCTCGATTACTGGTCGATAATGAATCATTGGGTCAAATTATGTAGCACACTAATGCATTTTGGATTATAAACCTATGGATATCTTCATACTTCAACAAATCATGAACAGTATATACTGTTTTTTAAGAATCGTATTAGCTAGTTTCCAATAATGTAATTTTATAAAGTTAATTATATTGATTTGATCAATAGAAAACTTCTTTATTTTGTTAAATTCATTATAAATGATATGTACTTATAATAATAATGAATATAAAGCATAGAAAATGCTCATTTCTAAATTATATCAATAGATTGATTCTTTTTTTTTTATTTTCAATTATTAACATGTAAAATTTTTATTATTAATAAAAGATAAGAAATAAAATTGGAATTTTTTGTATCTTATTATTTAAAATCTTCGTATAGATAAGCAAAATTGATTTCATAAAGCAAAAACTTTCCTATATGTCAATTTAAACTACAAATCAAAATGGAAATTTCATATTTATATTCCATATAATACTTCAACGAATCCATATTTTTTCTCCTATAAATAAAAGGCAAACGAATCATTTCATCTATTAAATATTTTCTTGTGTATTCTCGACTACATAGCTACCAATACCATTCAGGTAAACAAGTATTCTTTCGCAATACTTTTTATTTCGTAATAACTGACACAAAAACAAATGGCAACTATTGCAAATTATTCCCAACATTTTACTTCCGCGATGCCAAATTATCATCATCATCATCGTTGGTCAAAACCAAAACAATCAACTTATATGAAAAGGAAAAATTTCAGAAGACATGATTATAATCGTTTCCGTAAGGAGTTTAAATCTAAAGGACACTTTATTAAGTTTCCATCTTTTTCTTTATTAGGCGGTAATCGTCAAGATCCATTAAATTTAAATGAACTTATTCAAAACAAGAACCAACAACAACAACAATCAACAATAAATAATGATCATATAGATGTAGATATTTATGGTAATGATCGACCAATTGAAATTTTACTTCCACCAAATATTTTTGATCCTCTTAATCTTGATATTTCTTCATATAATAATGAAAATTCTATTTCATTTAATAGTATAAAACAACAAAAATACATACCCAAAATACAAACACATTTTCAATCAACTGAACATAAATGGAATTATGATCATCAAGTACCCAAACGAACAATGATTAGATAATGACTTTTTTGCTTGTAATAAACTTGTTTCTTTTTGTTACTTAAAAGATTATATATATATTTATATTTAGGGGTGTCATACTGATCATGTGACATTCTCAGCCGGTGTGCATTCTATGGTTTAAATATCTTTTATTTAATTTTATATGTATATATATTTAGGAATTCAAATCTACGCAATGTATACAGCTATTGAAAATTCACTTCATCAATTATGATAATCTACTGATTGAGAAAGAAAGAAAAAAATTATTCTTGCGAAGGTTCAAAAAATATTTCTAGAGTTTCATAATACACCTACGTTTTTTCTGGAATTATGATGAGTCATATGTTGATTATGGAATGAACTTTTAATTCATACTAAAACCAATACTTAAACGTGCTTGCTAATATTCTATAATGTACTTTTTGATATTATAACACTTCATGATCTATAAAAAACATGAAACTCATTAATAGGTTTCTCATGAGGCTTTGGAGTTATGATTTACTTTATATAGATATATTTAGATTAATTTTTTTTCTAAGGAATATATACTCGGAGAGTTCAAAACGGTCTGATTTCAGTTTACGAAGAAAGTAATTTAATGATCTGACCCTTGAATGTTATTCTTATGTTTAGTTTTAAGACAATTATTTTAAACTTTATTATAATAGTTATTGTCATATAAAGAAGAAAAAAAA